TCTTCAAGTATCTGACTGTAGGACTTTACTACTGATGAGTGTGTATGTGGGAACCTCCCAGCACCAAAAGATGTTGAATTGAGTTCCAGTGAACAGAATTCACTTGAGGCCATGTCAAACAAGGGTGGATCTAGAGGGCAGTGGTGGGGATTTTTTTTTACAAGTAATACTTCCTAGGCAAGTAGGAAAGAAAGTAATCAGCAGTATATTTATCATCATATAGTAGCACCAAATTCCTAACAAAACACCGTTTGATTTTCTCTCTCCAACATTGTGCTGAAGGAGCCCAAAGCCGCATTTGCTTTTAATTTGCCTCCCTCCAACACCGAAAGCTACTGCCAGAGGAGCCAACAAGGACATGCCCCTATCCCCTCTAAAAGAAAATGGAGCCCCAACTTTTTTTTTTAAATATCCGAATTTTTTGGTAAACCCCCCCCCAAAAAAAATTGGTTCTGGAACTGTCTTGACAAACCCAACCTCGTGGAATGGCCATATCTACTTCAAGTAATCTGTCATGAGTCCACCACACACTCAAGAGCAACTAATGCCACAGGCATTGTGCCAACGTTTGTACAAAATAATGGCCAGTAGTCTAAACAGTAGCCAATGCTTTCTCTTCTGCCACTAACTGATTAACTGAAACTCGCGACCATTTTGTTTCTTTTCAATCGATGAGGGAGTGCTTCCACTCAAGGCGGATATATGCTCAGAAAAAGGCTAGGCAGCTCTGTGCCCTAAATGCCTGTATAACTAAAGGGGACACCCTTCTTGAAAAATGAGTCAACACCCAATTATAATCCAAAGTTGGTAATACTAGCATGCTGAATTGCAGGTGTTAAAAGTTGACACTTCTTTTCTGTGCAAATTTTTATAAGTACATGTACAAGTATTATCTTTAAAGTTGCTGATGTATAGTCACACACAGAGCTTAATCTGCACATGGTCCTGGGAGAAATAAAGCAAATTGATTCACTCTTCTGATATTTTCAGTATTAACAGTTTATTGCAACTATGTGGCAGTATAATATTGCAATGAGGTGTATTTAATTAATGGATGGAATATAACATGTTTAAAGTATGGTAAACATAACTTAATAAGCTACCTGTTGATGCTAGTACTTCAACTGTGTGTCGCTACAAACAAAATCTTTGCGTGAATAGCCTCAACATTAGTGCTGATTAGATTTGGGTGGTAAACTGTTGATGAGTTTTACTCTGGAACATTTTACTGGGATACTGCAACTTGGTAGTTTTGTACTGACCAGCTGGGACTTACCCCAAGAAACAGAACATCATTAGAAAAAAGCTTCAGATGACGTGTATATGCATTGATGGGAGCGTATTTCATGGAGGATTTTTACTACACAGAAACCGGTTACCTTTATGGCATATGTATTAGTATTAACTTGGACGTCTTTTGTTAAGTATGGAAATCTACTCCAAGATATTTTGTTTCAGGAAATAAGGCCCAAGTGGTCAAGTTATAAATTATGTAACTGAGGTGGTACACAATAATGTCTACACTAGGTACGTCAACTGTTAGCTCTTGTTCGTTTTTGTTTTCCGCATAGGAAAAAAAAGAAATCAGTGAATGCCACAGTACTGTGAAAACACAAACAAGTATCCAAGATTTAAGCAATACAAAAGTGTCATCAGTTGTGCTGCTCTGTATGCATTGATCTGAACTTGAAAACTCAACCAACTGATCATCATGAAAATAAAACTCTGACCTGCATATGAACTTATCAAGAATTCTTTCATTTTTCGGAACAATTAATACAATTCCAAAACAGATTACTTGAATCACCGAAGAATGTACACTATTTATAATGCAACAAAGTTTAACATCATTGTCTCTCGAAACATGTCACGGCAACTATATCAAAGGTTGGATCACTTCACTGAATTTTACTTCAACAAATGGCTCAGAAAATTTAATACACAGGTGCTCAGAGGATGCCATACAAGGTTTCAAAAATTTTGTATTTTGTGAAATTTTGTATCGTGAAGAAAATGTACCACAATATCATTATGGGCTACCCCCAAAGATTAGATCTTTACTGGCCTGCCCTACTTGTAAAAATCAAACCATGATGTTCAAGAAGTTGTAGTTGTCAATCAGTGCTAACAGTAAATTGTCAAGCTGGGATTACATTTTAACAGACGGTTGATTAATTTTTTACAGTTTATGTTCGACTGTTTTTCCTGTTGCCTTCCTACCAACATTTGAACGCTAAACTCTAATGGTTAGTTCTTTTCCTCTTTAACCCCAGTCCTCAGTCCACCTGGTGAAGGATTAAGGTCTGTAGCTACATACAACACCTTCTAGTTTCACACTCTGTACTTGCCTGGGCAAATTTAATTTCTCTGGGAAAAAAAAAACCAGTACAAATTTACTACACGTCTTCATGCAAAATGGAAAGTGTGTGTGTGTGTGGGGGGGCAGAGATGATTCTAACATGGTTCACTGCAAAGACTCTGACATGCCATAATGTGGAAATGTTTGCAGTAATGAGCAGATATATAAGATTAACCCACCTTCCCAAAAGTTATACACAAGTAAATGGATTTTGTGAAAGGGATCTGATAGTTCAAATCATAGAGGATTTATCCTAAATGTATATGTAATTTTGGGGGACCTTTTCCAATCAATGATCACCACTGAATGTATTGTCAAAGTGTGGCTCAGTATGTACTTTGCATGGAAAGTATGTGTCCAAAGTAGTCACAGGGTGAAACGCTTCACCAAGTGTACTTATGCTGACGTTAGACACAGGATCATCATTCACTGTGAGTTACAAAGGCAGATCCTGCTTTGCCAATTGATGTCAACATATCCAGAGCACCCATGAGTTTGGTCTGACCCTGGCTGAAAAAGGAGTCATTCATAGCATGCTCTGTGAGGAGTCCAAATGGGAATATTTGCACATCATACCAATCAGAACAATGAGGGGATAATTGTCACAGTAATTAACAACCAATCAAACTGCAGAAATTGTAATGCTGTTGCCAGTCCTCATTCCACAAAGGCCAGGTTACCAGTCTAAATCCTACTCCTGATGGGACAGTTTTATTAGTATCTACACGAACTAGTATTATTCATTTTGCATTAAAGACTAATTTAGTCTTTGAGCTAAAAGCAATGCATGTACATCACGCCAGCGTAACTATACTAAGCCATGTTTATTAAGCTGCTCCCCTAGTAAGGCTACTCCTACAGTACTTTCAGGGTGTAGGGAAAGTGGGCATTGTGAAAAGATAAAATATAAACATAATCCCTTCAGATACTGATCAACATATTTATATACTTAATCAAACCATAACATGTGCATTCCGATCTAGTCTGCTACGCCAGGTGATAAATCTTGCATAATATATCAACACAAAATTGAACAATTTCTTTTTTTTTTTATAATCAAGACTTATTATCCGGCTTTGCCTACAAACATATGTGCTTTGGAAGATACCATTGGTGATATACAGGGATGTGCATTTGCTACAATATATATAGATGCTATTTCAACTAGCCTTGCTGTTCATTATCTGGTGCACATCAAATCTGGTGCAATATAACCATTTCCATTCAGTAAATGCATAAATCACTTGGTAATTTCAATAATCACTTAATAATTTACAATATAATATTCAGAGCATATACTCACTAAACTGTGAAAAGCTGCTAGTAAAAAATTTAAATCTGAAAGAACTATAATGGTAATTACACTTATGAACACGTTCTTTGTCATACAAAGCTATCATACTTGAATAGATTCAATTTATTAAACGTGCTTCAAAAACACTCGTGCGTTTCTTTAAGTTAGCGAGGGTTCAAGTTGCTGGCTGATTTGTTCATGTGAGGTAGAGAGTACCGCATGATCACCACTTCAAGAGTGACCTATGGCAGAAAATTGGTGCCCCACCATTCTGAAACCAGGCCGTAGAATTTTAGCTATTACTGGACATATGCATCAACACTCCAAGTTCTACGACTTTCATTGCCTGTAAGTGTAACTATCAGAGTTTCCTGCGGACAGTTGTTTTTTTACTTCACACCACTTTGAAGTATAAAAATTAATTGGGGGGGGGGGATTTTCGAACATCAAAATCACTTACTTCAGCCTTATTTGGGAATAGTGGGTCACACTCTCTTCTGCACAAACACTTCCATTACATGTAGTACTGCTCAACTTTCGGCAACACTGACCAGAAAATCTTACTGAAAGAACCAACTTCCCCATTACAACACTTAAATGAGGTAAATAAAATATAAAATGCAAACTGTTTATAAAACCATGCCTCTTTGAATGACCTTATGGGTATGATTTTGAACCCAAAAATTTACTTCATTTTACTCATTTTAGACTATACAGTCTTGGCAAAAGTACTTCATGGAAACATCATCCTCTGTTATAGCATTCTCTTTGATCGTAATCAAGCCGAACAACTTTTTTACCTCGGCGCTAACTTAAAAACTGCACTGGCAATGTAAACTCATAAAAACCTGGTAAATAGTGAAATTTTCTCTTAAATGTAACACAAAAACCAACTACTTTACACTATCGTTTAGTTATTTGATGTGTTTTATGTAACAGTATTTACAGTAAGTTTTGAAACATGGCAAACCCTGAGAAAGTCTCAAACGCAACACAGGATAGTGAGCCACAGCACTGGGCCGATGAAATCTAACAATCAGTGCAATCTCCACTCCAAATCTTGATGGCTTCCTGTTCCTATGACAACCCTTGCCATTAAAGCTTTGTTTAGTTACATTCAACTGAAGAATAGAAAGGTTGTATAATGTACATATGTTTGCCCCGCCTATAATTATGCTGATGAATTTAAGTACAAATGACAAGAAATTGAGTGAAAACAGCTTGTGACCTGCCTCTCATAATAGCTATCCACTCAACTTCAACTCACCATACTTGAACAGTTGTTTAATCTTCCCCGAGGTTCACTAAGTCACTTTAAAAAATCATGGCAAGCAGAAGATGTTTTGGCATAAACAAAGCAAAATTAAAAAAATCTCAATTAACTCTAAAACATTTTTATAATGATAAATTAAAAGTTAGATACATACATGCTCATCAACTCTAAAAACTAACTGATATAGTCTTACACATAAGGTTGCATTCACTCGCTGAATATGAAAGCTGTCTGAATATACATTTTGCATAAAAAGAATATGAACAGTTCATCTTAAACCCCACAGAATGTTTTATTGCACACACAAAACCGTACAAGTTTCATAAAAATGCTCATAAGCAAACAAACCCATCTTATTTGAAGTCTTCCAGTTCTTTTACAAATCCTCCCTATAAATTACTTAAGTTAGTGAAACAGAAAGCCAAGTGCAACTCAATCAAAAGGGTATGGCAGACACTGTCAATTCACTGCTGAAACAAAGTCCACATAGCGTAAATTAAACTGAGGGCGAGGCTAAAATCTCAGTGGCCAAAGGTGATGTCTGAAGACACACTGCTTCACTTGGCTGACTGCCACATTTCTGACAAGGGGGATTTGTTATATTTTGGTAGAAAAGTTCTGCCGAGTTGTTTAAATTACTAAGTGAATACTGATATTGAGAATCCCCTTCCGCAGTACTCACTTCATGCATAAATAAACTTTTGTGCAATGCTGAAATCTAATGACAGCTAAACAACTCTGAATACTATGCTTGAATACTGAATACATTTAATACTTGTTTTCTTTTTGAACCAAAACCTCGGGAGACTTCCAAAGAAACAGGAATGGCCAATTACTACTCACATGTAAACACAAAAGCTGCCAGATTTTTTGAACCTCAAGAAAGGACAGTGTGTGATTTGCTAACACCCACTACTCCCAACAAGTACGACTGCTGTCCTGACTTGACTGTAGGCATTCTACCAATGATCTGCTCTTACACAGGTTACCTGTGAGGTTAATTCAAACACCTCAACTGCTGCCAAGTTCCCAGAGCAAGGTTTGATGCATACACACACACACCTATATTCAATTGCACCAATTCCTGCAATAGACACAGGCTTAAAATGCCAGTAAAAATCGTTTCCAGTGGTTTTGCCATCCTTTATATGCACAAGCTGTTGCATTACACAACACAGTGTAAAGCTTGAAACTTGTACGTTTGACCTCTCAAGCCCAAATCTTTCTATCGAAAAAAGCTGGAATGAAAGAAACAGACTGGAACATGAAATCTGTAGTGATAGTAATTGTTCAGGTATCTTTTTGAGCAGTACATAGGCAACTTGACTTTATTATAATGAACCCTTTCAACCATACCAAAAAGTACAGGTATGTTAGACAGTCTCAGTGGAGCTTCATTACCTTTTGCAACTGACTTTTTGGGGGAAGGGGGATGACCACATTTTCTTGAAAGTGGAATAATTCTTGACGCCAGAACTAACCCTCCAAAAATATCTGACAGCCTTAGTTAAGTTTCCCATGAAGTAGATTCTTGATGTTCTTACTCTTGACAAGTCTCAGGATCTCTGGTTTAGTTTTGGATACCAGAGGAACTTTTGAAGGGTAGTGCGTTTCTGGCTGTAAAGGGCTAGTGCAAACAATTTTAATAGGAGATCCCCTTGTTATGCAAGATATAGCAAACATGGTTGCGCCGGCTAGTTTGTTCTAAGCTTCCAGCATGCATTAAAAAACAGTAGAGGCATAATCTTACACAAACTTCAAGACCTCATTAAGATTCTACTGCAGTTCTGCAATACCCCAGCAAAAGGAACCTCCGATGACGACAGGAAGGACTGAATCTGACCATGCATAAAGATGCCAGAATGGAACTGAGCCAGTCACAAACTTCAAGGGGCATAACAAGAGGGAAGGATGGGGTTGAGCGTGATGTCCCGATGATTGACTAAAGCAGGAGACAGAAGCTGCTGCGGTTCTTACTGGGGGCCAGGGCCTCCTTACACTGACTGCTGACCACATTACTGACGCGGCCGTGCTCCCCGCTAGTGGTGCTACCCCTGGAGTTCCTCTGGTTCTTGCTCTGGGTTGCGGCTTCTACTCCCTTTGATGAGGCGGCTTCTTCCTGAGCCTGCTTGGCGAGATAGGCTTTCTCATCTAATAAGGACATTTGGGCATGATGAAAACCAAATCAGTGTGGTGGCTGATGATATAGGACTATATCATATAAAAGGCATAAATGTTGGCATCTCCTGCGACAAGTTCTTTTTTCTCTTAAACTGTGCTAGTGTGGTACTCTTTGATACTCTGGGCAATGAGAATTTCTGCATGTGCATTGCAGCCTAAATGTCCTTATCAATATTGCACCTGTTGAAAGTACAGAGGTGGACATGCAATGGCGATTGATGCCATATTGTTACTATTGGTGATCACACGAGCCCGAGCGGAACACAGAATGTAGTGCATCTGTGTCTGGAACACAGACACACTGCATTATTCCTTGTTCCACCAGCACGAGCGTGATAACGAATTTATTTTCAAGCAAACTTGACGTGCAGTAAAGAAAGTGAAGGGGCCTATATGCACTTTACATAAAAAAGAAGACAAAAAATATCATACGGTATCATCAAAGGAGCATGGGGATTATTTGAGTTTTAACTTATTGCAATAACAATAGTAACAGGGCTTATACTAAGAACAGAAATTATTAGAATTGTATGTGATGTCTAACACGTGACAATCAGCATGGGCAAACACGCCACTTTTGAATTTACAGTCAAGCAGATGTGCATTTACTTTTAGCGTAAAAATAGCACAACGCATTGAGTTAGAACAGTGCATTATGCAGGGTTTGATATAAACCGTGCAATATGGTTGTATATCACACTGTTTGTTGCCGTGGATCAACCAATCAGAACTGAGCGTTCAAGTTTGCCTGATAATGTCTGTTTGAAGAGTGCTCTGAGCACGTGTGTCTTCCCATGTATTTGCCAGTCCATACCCTTACCACTCATTTGGATTTGGCTTAATTCATATTACCACCAAGAAATCACTCAAGAACAACTACAGCAATGCACTGTTTTAAGCTGCAGTGTGTCCGACTTGCCAACAATCATCCAGCAACATGTCAGTGTTAAGAAACAGCAGATGATGAATGTGTCAATGTAAAGCTTTCTATATTCCATTTCAATGGTTTGTGAACTGTCTTCATCGCCAGGTTGTCATTCGGGCTTTTTAAAAGCTTATTCTTTGAACTTTACTGGTTTTTCAAGATTGCTGGATAACTGGAGAGTAAAATAACTTGTACTTTGCTACTCACTTTAGATGAAAAAATCCCTTCCCCATAAAACAAATCAGGTGCTTTTGAGCATGTCAATTGTTAATCCTTGGTCTTCTTCACTCTCCCCCCCCCCAAATACAGGGTTCAATACTGGTCTGTTTGAACATAGATTTATTTCCATGTTCTCCAACTGGGTCAATGGATTTATCATCAAGCAAACAATTCAACAAATTCACAAAGTCAACCACCATCAGACACGCACACACACACACTACCTGTGTGAAGCAGTGAGTGCTACGTGCACTGCACAGTAATTATCAATGAGGCAAACAAAAAGAGTATTGATCTATGATTGGCCAGTGGGATCAACCAATCAGCACTGGAGATCCAAAGTTTTGCTTGAAGATAAATGTTTGTTAGAATAAAGGCACCACACACAAGCATGCATTTAAGCTTCATTCAAGTGATTTTTACAGCGTTCAGAACTTGAATTAAGCCCGTAAAGACAGCCTGCAAAGAGAGCACTGCCCAATCAGCAGCAGCCAGTTACTTCCATGCCATGGGGAGTAGATTTGCAAACATTCAGGCTTAGTGTGCAAAGCCTACATTTGCTTGTTACTCTCTATACCTGCAGGTGTAGGACAATGTTTGGTATGCATTTCTCCCAGATCATATGACACAAATGGTCAGTGATTACCTTCTGTGCCATCTTGAAATAACCACGATGCATGAGTATACTACAAGCTTGATTGAGTACATGTAAGTGACTTGGGATATTTATGCTAACGTGTGAATGCCACACAATGTACCGTGGCAAGTTTGACTGCAACGCAGTCCATGTCTACTACTGAAGCTTTGATATTAACATAGCCTAGTGTGGCCAGGCGGTAAAAAACAGCAGATGCACTTTGATTCATCTCCAGTTATAAATCACGTGAACCGTCATTATTCTGGTGCAATCCCACATAAATTTAACAAATTAAAAGACAAATTATAGTAGCTGTTTGACAGCTCGCCAAAAAGCTGATATGGGCAGGCTTCTTTACTGTCATTGCAAAGCCCATGCACTGTAAAAATAACCATAATCACAATGAGTGCATTCCAAGATGAAGCTGTCTGTGTAGGGTGACAAGACAGTGAATTTGCATAGCATGCAGACACCATGCACAAGCAAGAAATACACTACATGCAAATCAACACAAGGTGACGTCATGACGAGGAGAAAAAAAAGCCTCAATTATTACCATCTGTTTAAAAAGTACACAATGAATATAATCCCTGAAGGTTACATCCTAAAATGAGTTTCAAGGATGTACAAATGTCAGTAGGAAAGGAAAGGAAAAGGGGAAAAAAAAGATTATTTGGCGGACATGCATGTGTCTGAAAATGACCAGAAATTGAGATATATTTCCTGTGAAATATTGGCCCACTGCAGAATCTTCCCCCAGGTGTAACTAATCATGAATTTAATAGTAGTGCTCTCACAGGACCATAGCATATGTGTACATGTACCACTGTGACATACAATACATCATTCACCAGACCATGCATAGTTCCGTATGTGTTATATCAGGCATTCAAAATGCTCTCTAACAGTGGAACTCACCGCTGAATTCCACTCCTAAAAATCAACACATGAAAAGCAACAGAAAAAAATGACGGCTTGCAATATCAGCCTCCTACACAAGTACCGTGAATCAATTATTGTTATTCACACTACGATCTACATATCAGCATTTGGAATGCTCCTAATGTGAGGTAACTTCAGGCCGTGTTGAAATACAGACTGAACTTGAAACACTAGACGTTTTCTTCTCTCTTTTACGTTTCTAGAAATAATGGCCCTCTTCCATCTTTTGGTTATTCTGAATGCATTTATCCTGAGATCTCAATCCACAAATAAGAGATCGACTAGTCACTTCTCGGGATTGCATCGGTTATATAGTGTGTAAGATTTTTGGTTTGAGTGTCTCGATTTGTTCATTCATTTCAGATGTGAGGTTTTACTCTTTCTGCTCTCATTACATTTTTCAAACTTATGTACACAAAATCATTGCACTGTTCTGCAATGGCCGGTAGGCTGTCCTTGTTACTGGCTTCACTGAACTGCATTTGGTATTGCTAAAAACTGGTCCGGGCACAGAATGACAAATGATGGCAAACAGATAAATGGTATGATTTTTCGCTACATTTCCTTCACAAAGTCAGAGGATGAGAAAACGTTGATCTTTGCAAATACCAAGAACGACTTGTTGTGTCTTTGGTACAATTTCCGGAGAACACGTCAAGATACTCAGTGCCAAGGAGGTGGACTAGGCTCATTTCCATTCTTCAATGAACCCCCATTTCTGTGAGGTGGTGCCAAAAGATGACTGAATGACAAAGACTGAGTTGTTTGATGGTTGCTAAAGGTGCTTAGTGGCGTAGTCAGGCATATGGTATGTGCGATAGCAGAAAATGGAAAACAAAAAGAAACAAAACATGGATGACTGACAGGCAGCTACAGACTGAGAGTGCGCACATGATCCACTCCCTCATGTCTCCCAACGTTCGTTAAAGAAACACAAACACGGCAAGATTTCTACCTCACATCCTCATCCGCAGGCCCAAAATACTTATCCGTACACTTACAGGGTTATGTCGGCACACACGGGCCGCAGTGCACATTCTAAACTGCTCGTCCAAAGGGTGTGAAAGATGATAGGGAAAAAAATAAAAAGGCAACTGGGTGTCAACACAGAGACATGTGGAAACAGTTATTCTAACATGATTTCCAAGATATTTTTTATTTTTAGATAAAATCCCATATCATTAGACTTCACCCTTCTAATGTGCTGTTTTGTAACTTTTTTTCAGTCAAGTAAAGCCTAACAAAATGAAATGAGGTATCATGCGGCGAGAGTTCTGCCCTATCATGTGAAACTTTGTAGACCTATTTTCAGTAACTGTTTGAAAACTAAATAAAATCAAATTTGCATACATCCTATCTCAACAACTTCACTGGAACACATTAGAAAATGCCAACACTAAAATGCAGTTTAGATTTAGCTTCAAGTATACAATTTGTTGAGGAGGGGGACTTTGCCTTTTTCCCAAAACTGAAGGAATCTAGACCTTCTAGAGATGACTGAACCCTGAATAGGTTTGGTGTTTTTTCAATGCAAATACACTGGGCCATATAAATGAGACAAAATAGAGCACAAGTACTGGTAAGCCTTACACAGTATTGTAGTCCAATATTTTCCATAATTCTAAGAAAGGGCACATCAACAATTGTGCATGGACTTAGGTCCTAGTACAAGGATAGGATAGAATACAATCGAATAGATAAGAACATTCTGGTTTGAGATGTACAAATATAATTGCACTGCAACTTTGTACAGTAACGGGGGAGTTCATTTTGGTAAGTGGGGCTTGGCAAGCACAAAATAACTTGTCAAGTAGGAGTGTGTGCATTAGAGACTTAGAGTAGCCGAACTACAACACTGGCCTGATGTTGGCCAGTCAAATCCTTAGTATGGTCAGATCCAGAACGGACGTTAAGAAGCTCACGAGGCAGTGTCTTTCACTCACTACAGCTGGAAGAAATAGAACATGTCTGAGACTGGTGTGGCATAAAGAGTGACATGCTTGGGGCACTCTGTGTGTGGGTGTGTGTGTGGGAATGAACCAACATGCAGAGTCACTGATTGCCTTTCATGCGTTGACCTTAGGATGATCTTAGAATGACCTCAGTCTGACCTCAGCAAGCCTGGGCTAACACATCATGCTGCACCACTGAGTCCATTTGTTTTCAGCCACAGACTGGTAGAGATGTGGTCAAGCCATTGAGGTCCCATGCCATTTGGGGTAATTTACATGGCAGAGTGGGGTTTTTAATACTTACTCTTGAGAAAGGAAACAATGTAAAGAACAGTACAAAATGGTGTATGAGAGCACAATGTGATAATGATATGGCAAAATTAGCTAGAATTACTTTGACTTCTGGAAAGTTCGTTATGCTACTGTTTAAATGCAAACGATATAGGACTAAGCACTGAAAGAGATGACACTATTTTTGGAATACTTTAGGATACTTTGATCAGAAGAGTAATCTCATAATAAAATGGATTATTTCAAGCATGTTTCTTCCAATTCAGAAATGAGAGAGGAATATTACAGAAAGCACACATAAATATTGAACATTTGAAAAAGAATGGCCTCTTTGACTGAATTTTCTTCTTGAATTTATTTCTCTTACCTTACATTTTCCTAAATATGAGATGTTTCCTCTCTATATTAGCTTAATTTGGGTGACTTGAGGAAAGGAATAAGGTTAAATCAATATATCTTATTACACTGCAGGGATTTTCAAAGGAACCTAGTAAAGAAAAAACATCATATAGGTGAAACACTTTTATCAGACTGCAGAAGAAAAAAAATCTACCAGCTATCATGCAGCTGGCAACAAGAAAAGTGCTGAGAAAGATAGGCAAATCCAGCATGCACGTATCATTCCATTACTGGCAGTATGAAGATGGGGCACCATCAATTGCATAACAGTGGGCCATGTGTCTGTGCAGCAAGGCTATCAGGCGATCGATCATTCCAGATGAGATGAGGTGAGATAGAACACACGCACGTCACACATGCATGCCAGGGGGAGGGAGGACGCTCATTAGCACAACAGAGTAGAACAGCATGGGGCCCTCCACACCAAGCAGACAGTGGGGGAGATAACCATGCCATGATGCAACAGTAGCAGTGGCAAAAACCGGCCGGATAAGATGAGTGAAGATGAGGATGAAAGTGGCATGGTGGTAGTGGTAGTGGTGGTGACTTTGTTGGTTGTGGTGAAGACAGCGACCCCATGCCAAGTGTGAGAGACAACGCACGCACAGTGGAACCAAAGGAAGACCGTCTCATCCAGTCTCCTGCATCAGGTTTTTTTTCTTTCTTCTCTTTCAATCAATCTCACCCTTGGCCGTCGCATTTCGCTCCTTGGCCTGCTCCCGGATGGTTTTTCTCTTCTTTTTTTCCTCCTCAGCTTTTTGGGCCTCTATGGTCTTTTGGGCCTCAGTGTCAGCCAGCTGCTGCCACTGGCTGCGGTTTTGTTGCATGCCCTGGTATAGTGGGGCCAGCTGAGGCTGCATCGAGGCTAGATTCTAGGCAAGAAAGGAACAACAATATGGCTGATAGGTACACAGATTTCACAAGCCATCTCCCTTGTTTGTGGACAACCACAGCGGCATGGCCTTTCCCACAGATCTCGGAGGCCACTTCTGTTTCTTTAGTCTTAGTAGATGAAAGCAGCCAAAGAAGCTGTCAATGAAGGCAAACACTAGCTGAATGGATCAACTTCAGCGCTCCACAACAAATCCTGTAAAAATTAAAGCAACTCCACAGCAAATGAAGACACATAATAACTACGGTTAGTCTCATTAATGGGAACCTTTGTTAATGATGAGAAAAAAATGGAACAGTTAAAATGTTAAAGAGAGAGAGAAAAGGCCTAACCCTCCGGAATTTTGCCCTCAGAGAGGGACTGCCAGTTGTCACGGTTACGCTTGACGCCATCCAACAGAGGCTTCATGCCAGGCCAGGTCTCAGCAAAGATCTGGTATGATTGGAAAAATGTAGACAGAAAGAGGCAAATGCAAAAAAGAAAACAAAGAACAAAAAGTGGTTTGTGCAGCAGGCATATCCAAAGTGTGTTTTGGTGGGATACACTGATAATGGGGAAAAGGAATGGAGGGAAGGGCAAGGATGGGAATAGGGCCAGGGGGAGGGGAGAGGGGACTACTTCATATGACTGGAAAACATAGCATTGATTTGGAAAGCATGGAAAGTAAGACAGTGCAGGGAATGCTTAGAGCAATGGTACAATATTGCTAACATTCCTAGACTACTCATTTGACTACATTTGATGGCAACCAGTTCCACAGAAACTGTCTTTGACCTTTTTTTGACACACTGATGTGAATAACCAAATCTCCTTCTATCCAACTGCTACTTAATCAATTCATATTAGATGTATTTCTAAAAATTAAAAATAAAAAGGTGTATGCCCCCTTTTTTTTCCCAGGCTTGATCTGGACCCGAAAGATAAGTATCATTGGAGTCGTATTATTTTGCCAAGATCTGTTGCCATGTGACAACACATTCTACATTCTTTCATGCAAAATAAACAGCTTTCTTGTCAGACACTTCAAATCAAGAGACTGTCTGGTACACAAATGGCATAAACCCAGACCAAGGCTTTATGCATGGCAACCAGCAAAAAAGGGACCTCGAGTCTATAAAGTAGAGACCATTCTTAGTAAACCGAGACCACTATGAAGAGAGTTGCTTCAAAGTTAGCAATATTCTACCATAGCTTCACAACTGTAGATGCCTCAGGTTGAATTCTAATATCAGTTAATAAGGTAGTTGAGCAGATTAAAAAATAAAAATATTTACATAATGCCAACTGGCAAATTTCTGTTTATTGACAAGCACGCATTTTCACAAAGTTTTACAAAATTTGATGCAAGCAAAGTGTTTTTCACGTCAGAAGCACTTTTTGAATACACTTAAATGCAAATGAACAAAGTTCTGGCCATGTATGTGCTCTCGAAAAGCTAAATTTCTGAATGAAGACTGATCAACTTCATGCACCATAACAACAAGCAAACAAGACCGTACAATAATGAGAAATGGTCCAGAGAATGCATCACAGAGTTTAGGAGATGAGGGTGTGGTCTTTTAAGAGTCCTCTTGACGAGGGGAGGGCTGGATAGCATCAGTTTAGAATTGATCTAAGGGGAAAACTAGGGTAGAAAAAATTCTGCTCGATGAACCTGTCAGGAGAGAACATATATTAAGGTAAGCAACAAGGGAATTTGGCATGGGATATGTGTGTGGATTCAGCTTGGAAAAAACTCAGTCTGAGTTTTCTAAACAAATATGAACAAAGACTTCTCAATGACACAGAATATGAAAATATGTACCCAGGCATTCAATACTTGATCTTTTTTTGGCTAATGCCATCTCAAATATCAAATTTCAATGCCTTTTCTACCCACAAAAGAATCTTTCTATGATCTTCTATGGTTTTCCATGATTGTGGGAACCCTGTCATTTTTTCATGATGGACTTGAACTATTAGGAATAGATCTTTCACAACAGGGCAAATGAACAAAATCATGGTCATTTCACACAATTCTGTATGGTAACTTAGTTTTTTCATGACATGGTCACTGGAATGGAATGTGATGCATATCACCTGCATACTGCTGGTCTTTGTCACGCAATAGCTGTGACTCACCATGCTGCTCTTTTTAGTGTTTAGTCTGACACCACACAGTGTTCACTTCTAATAAAATTCAAAGGATAAGACCAACCCCCTCCCGAGTCAAAGGTTTAATTGATCCCTTCCCTGTGAATGCAGAAAAATCTACAGGAGAAACTGGCTGACGGACGCGAAATCATATCAAAGGAAATTGAAGGGACATAAGCCTTGCTTGCATCCATGGCTGTAAAAATGAAGAACACTCTCATAGAATTAGCATATTCCCATTTTGGCTGAGGTGAAAAAATTCCCTATAAACCAACAACAACATTGGTACATCTGGAGGCTGGAGGGTCAAAAAATTCATCAGGCTCTGATCTGCCAGTGTTAATGGGGACAGCAGCATGGCAATCTTGGTGATATGGATGCCTGCAAAAAAAAAAAAAGTCGTACAAAAGTGAAGCCACACAACTATGGCGCAATTACGAAGTTGCATTATCAAATCACCCTTGCTGCGTAATTGCGAGCCCACAAGATTGCAAAGCTGCAAGATCACTGCACTGTTGTGTAAGGTTTCAACCAATCAAGCTGGGAGCTGACTAGTACCAAGGTTCCATGAACGCTACAGAAAACCACGCAATCAGTCATAACCCTTGCCTGATAAAGACTAGCAGTATGCAGAACATGTGACTCACTCCACTCGAGTGACATCATGAAATCAATGAGTGGCCAGCATGTCTGTACCAATGATACAATGATAAAAGTAGCATAATATCCAGGTAGTCAAGATGTCCATCATGATGATTTAGAAGAGGCCTTCCCCAGGTAACCACTTGCTATATCACTGTACTGTGAACTCATACTATTTATTATACCTCAGTCCCATTTTAAGCTGGAGCCACATAGCCAAATTCCCTTGCTTTTAAATAATGACTCAACAAAGGAAAAGAAAATTAGACGACATTCATCACAGAAGGTCACAATCAACAATGAAACATTCTAGATGTGATTGAAAAAGGTTCATTTTCTTAAACACTTTGGCCTTTTGCCAAGGCACTTCACTCATAATGCTTGACTTCCTTCAGTTAGTGCAAGACTAAAAAAGTCACTAGCTGCACAGAAACTAATTTAAATGGATAAGTACATTGTTTAACACACACTTTATCAGAGAATTTTTTGTATAAACATTCAGTTCTCAAGAACTGGATGTCAGACACAGGCTCAAGGAAGACCAAACAGCAGTTTATTTGATGCTTTCTGCAAACAAGTAATTGACTCAAAACAGCATGGGCCATGTGTTGGTACCAGCCAATGAGGCAATATACAGTGTCAGCATGTTGGGGAATATATTTGACATTTGGAGAAAACATTTCCCACCTGACTTGCCTTGTATATGTACAAGACCAACTGTTTTCTATGGCTGCTGTGCATGAGCAGGTGATAGCATACATCTACTCAGCAACACTGTCCCTTTGGTAAGAGACACACCACTCATGCATACATGCACAAGTCTGCATACCTAAGATGTAGATCGCTTGGTACAATTTCAATGGAATGTATGTCTTTGTTGGGAACATTTTAAGCATCTTCCAACACATCTCTCTCTCTCAACTCCCTCTCCTTTGCAAATGGAGTTTTACATCTGAATTGATATCTAAAATGATGTCAAAAGGCTTACTGAGTCTAGTACAACCTGTAGCAAATGTAGTCTCCCAATGGTTTGGCCAAAATATTCTCCCCAACTTTTCATGACACAGTGATTAACTTTCTGTTTGACTTTCCTTTAACATTGCCTCATAAAAGCACTGGGAAACTTTAAAAACTTTTTTTTTTGACCAGCCATGCTTACCTTGTACACTGGCATACATATTGCATCAATGAACCCCACTTGCATCTTGGGAAGTTCACTTTTTTTCTTCCGATCCATCATGGCCTGTGAAAGATTTAAAAACTTTGTTAATCTCATCTACATAAAAAGTGTAACTGTCTTGTGACAGCACCACTTGTACTTGTAACTTACCCTTTTCGTATGACGTGGGAAAAAAACATTGATCCTAGATGATGGGAGTCCCACTGTACAACAGAAATTCAAATGGCATCTGATGCAAAGCAACCATTCTCACAATCGTTGCAAAGATTTGGTTTTATCACGTTTATTAAATTCATTTTCATTCAAAGATGGTCTGCACCTCGGATACAAGCAAAATGAATGCAAAATAGTGACGTAATATCAAATGGCAAAATTTGAACAAATTTCAGCTCAAGCGAATTTTGCAGCAAATGCTTCTTGACATGAAATCCGCTTCGCTTTTGCATTTGCTTAAGTCATGAACTGGCCTTCACATGGTAAAAGAAAAAAACTACTTAGATACTCCCCATAGTGCAAAGAGGACTGTTGTGCTTTTCACTCCAGTTGGCAAGTGTATGACACGCAAGGCTGGACAATCTCAGTCATGCATTTTGTGTGCCTCACTGCCACCTGTAAATTGAAGGTAACTCCAACCACCTTAGTCACCTCAACTGCGAGAAATCTCCACAATCGATTTCACCAAATTTTACGCAACGGCACAAATTGACTTATGTCGCATTTTACTGTGAAGATTATGCACTGCATAAGGAAACCACTCACACAAGAAATAATGGTGTAACACAATCATTTCAGGTCACAAAGCTGCACCAACAAATCAGAATTGAATGATTTTTGGTAACTAATCATGTTTGGCTCACACTTGCTCACACTTGCTCAACTAATCAAGAGTTGCATAGAAATGTACACCTTTTTTGGAGGTAACAAAAACCTTGCTTGGCTGTGACAGAACTTTGAGATTATCTGCCTAGTTCAGACAAAGAGCAGACAAAAAACCTTTTCAAAATGACAGTCAGAGTTAATTGTTTGAAGACTGAAGCAATATTGAAAAGGGCAGTTATTGTAAAGGTGTGATTGTCCTCTTCCAAGATGTTTAATATACTTGACACTTTTCACAGCTAAGCAAACTTTCATGAAATCAACCATCAGTACATTGCGCAGCTACGCCACAAATTTCTTCCTTAAGGCTTATGCATGGTGTCAAGTTACGCCATGTTTTGGGAAAATGCACCTGTGTCTTTTGACACAGGTGCATTTCTCTCCCTGTCTAATTACACGTAGTCCCTTGCTACACAACCCACAGCTGCTAGACTTACTATGGGTTCTTCCTTCAGCTGCTCTCGCTCCATGTCACCCTGTTCAAAGAACTCACTGGCTACTAGCTCAGCTACCCTCCTCTGGACCTCCCAGGGCTTGGTGATGGCCGAGACATCACAGGCAGTCATCATCATCCCCCTGTGTGGTAAAAACACCCATAATACAGGCCTGGATTTTCCAGTAGGTAAAGTAGGCACTGTGCCTAGGCCCTACGAAATATAAAGGGGCCTACAAACGAGTTGAGGGCCTATGAAATTATCAGTGCACAATAAAACACACAGCTCGGTGTTTCTCTTTTAATTTTTGATTTGATTTGACAGTGGTGCAGAACACTGGTGCCCCAGGCCTACAGAACACTTAACCACTTTGTGCCAGGGTACCCGGTTTTGGGCACATAGGCTTTATACACGAAACCGGGGAGCTTGGCCTTGTAACAAAAGACCGTACACGGAACGGAATTGCCAACATTTTTTCAGTTGTCAATTGAGGAGGAAATTCGACATTGTTTTGAAAGATTATACCACTGTTTGTGGCATTCAGTGCGAGCGGATTACAAATGGGGACAAAAGCGCTCCAGGACTTGCAGATCAAGATTTTCACTTCCTACTTTCAAACTACAGTTTTCTCCTGACAATTAACCCAAACATTTTCCTCAAAACACTTGAACCTCATCGTTTGGTCAGTATATATTATCTTGTATCTGAGAGAGCTTGGCTTTGGAGAAGTAGAGTGTGGGAATATGCACCAAGAAGCACTGAACACAAAGCTGTGGCTTTTCAGATTCACCTGTTTTTTCTCAATATTAAAAAGGACCACGTACATATGATAAAACTCAGAATGAATGCACTCTAGTTGGTGAGAGTTGAACTAGTCTAGTGAAATATTTGGGACCAGCCTACAAAGGTTGGACGGTTATCAAAAGCTCCACTTTTCAAAATGCACAGTAGGGAGCCAGAAAACGTAAGTTGCCGTATTAACACAATTAGCTGTAGTTTGACTGAGGATGTTAGCCCTTGGATATCAGTGCACAGGCTTGATGTTTGCAGCCATCTGACCTCTAGTCAACCAGTGAATTAACGTGTTCATTCATTCATTGCAGCAAACAGCAACATGTGAGTAAACAATGTGAACACAAGATTGCGCCTGCATTCCCCCTGCACATAGTCAAAAAGCAATTGACTAGTGGTCAAATATAGTTTGCGCCCGAATGCTTGGCTTCGTTTAGACTTTACCCCACTCTGATAATGCCTTCATGTTGCTGAAGCCAAGTAAAAATGAACTTAACTTCAACCTGCACAGAATCTAGATCCACACAAGTTGCTATGTGAGTCATGCTCTGAGAAGTTTCAAGTCTTGAGCATTGCCAGTAAAGACAAATGATTAAGCTTGGTAATCATACCTCAGTAGGTCCCTGTGCCTCGGATTATGCCAGTCTTTTACTCCTTGTTCAACCAGTTTGAAGAAATCATTGCGTTTCCTACGGAAAAATTAATGTATGAGTCAAAGCAACAATTTTCTGAATAATGTTATGGGAAGTTCCGTCGAACCTGTCTTTAAAAAGAAGGCACGCTGTCTGTCAAAGTTGAGAGTAATTTTGCTAGAGCTGCTGATGTCACGCTGTTGCACTGCCATAATGTTGGCAATGTGTGCAAAGAAAAACCATTCCAGGGTAGTTTAGCACTACGGACAGTAACTAATGGCGATTAAGCAGAAGTTTTCTGTTCTCATTGAATTGATGCTAATGGCTGAAAATTAGCTTAGGTAATCCATATAAGACTTGAAGCAGGCCTTGACAACAACGGTTGTCCGATTACGGGGGACACGTAATTTCTTCTTTTGGGCAAGTAAAAATTAAGGTCAAATTGCCTGAGGACAGGTACTTTTTCTTGAAATGAAAGTGTCAGTTTTTCGTGGCCAAGAATAGCAGTCAAAATACCTTTGATTTGTTGTTTTCTTCTTCACAAAAGTTTTTAAAAGGTGGTAAAAAGTAAACAGCTATGTGATGTATGATGTTTTGCATCGTTACGTACACTGTACATATACAAACTCGCATGTATTAAGCACACTATACATTCAGCAGGGCACCTTTCCACACAAGGGAAAATGCGTACATAAACAAGCAGTAAAATACCCTAGTGTCTGGCTACCAAACCTCATTGGTTATTGCATGCATGGTGCAGTGGAGCTTTGATGGCCGGAAGCTCAAAGACTGTTTTACATGTGGCTGTGACTTCAACATGAGTGAATTTTACCTGGTATTTGTGTGTGTACTTTATGCATATATGACATCAGGCAAACTCAAGTGGTACAGCCGTTGCATTTGTACGAATGATGCATCAGAGTCCTGCACACGCTGGGGTGATGTATATTCATGTCGTATTGTGGCATAGCAATTTCGTCAATGGTGAGTGGTTGAAAGGAATTTACTCTCCCCGCACAGTAATGAGCAACTAAACCAAGGGTTTTGGCAAGTAAAATCTTACCTTGGGCAAGTAAATTTTAAGTGCTACTTGCCTGAGGACAAGTACGTGTAGTTAAAAAAAATGAAAGTTAAGGCCTGGTTTGAAGGTTTGCATGGTGAAGGTAAGCAGCAGGAGTAAGTATGTAGTGACATAGCACCATGTACCAATCTCTTTTTGGAGTGTGTGAGGTTCTGAAAAGAACCGTGAAGGAACTCAACCTTTCAGACAATCTCCTGACAATGGTTAAAGCATACTGTCCAAACTCACTCCTGTTGCCCAAGTGCTGGCATTTTTTAAATTCAGTGACAGCACACCATTTATGGAGATTTACATTTACGAAGTTATAATCTGTAGAATGGCCAAAAACATGCGGCTTTCCCTTTTTGCTAATAATTCATAAAGCACTCTTATACCAACGATGCTATGATTGATCCATTCACTATAGTACTAGGTAATAAAAGTGATCATGTGTAGTCAGCCATTTTAAATTACAAAGCTGCTTTGAATGATATTGGATGCAGCTAGCTTTGCTCACATGCACATATACAAATCGTCACACAAAATTTCTCAATTCACGTCTTGGACTATGGAGAGAATGGCAAAGTCATCTTCCCAAATGGAGAGGGTTGCGCAGCAGCATAACCGGTGGGAGACTTTGTTTTCTTAAAGGAGCTGAAAAATGCTTACTTAAAGTACAGCGCCAAGTCAGTAGACAGTATGGCACTCTCCAGCATGCGGATCAACTCTCGGTAGTCCTCTGGCGAGAGGAACTGGAAGATATTGTTCCCCTATTCAAGATGAAAAAGATTGGAAATGTCAACAATGTGGGTAATACGCCAGAGCCTGGCCCCAGCAGAGCCAGCCACCCCTTGTTCATCCAACAGCATGATCCCCCTGGATCTATGCATACCTCATTGTAGGTGCTAGGGAGATTGGCTCTCTGTCGTGTCCCAGGGGAGGGGAAGCTGATATTGCGAGCAGCCTCCTTCCCTCTGGCGATCAAACATGACACCTGTGCCACTTACAACACTAATTAAATTCTTTTTTTCCCCAACAATGCCGGAAGAAGAGTATCACGTCATTGAGCGGTTTTCATCCTCCCAAAGTAAGCTGACTGAATTATCATCCAGTGTTATTGCTGCGAAATGGCATTTGATGGCATGGCTGAGGATACATGAGACCGAAATTTGGACAGTGAGAAAAATAAAATCTGCAGTTGTGAGTCGACGAGTTTCGGGATAAAATGTTCACACCACTGTCACTGATCCACTGAAAAAATTTAAACACATGACAAATACTTCACCGGCTTTAACAGAATGAATGAATTGAGATTTACATCAGTTTAAACATCAAAAATACTGTAACAAGAGGAAACGGTTAGCTGAGGACTATTTCATAATGTTTCACATTGGCTAGGCGTGTACATCACAGCTGCATAATTGATAACAAACATGTTACACATTTTGATGTCCTATGATTGTCCCTGTCATCTGCTATGTACATTTGTGAGGGAGGGTTGATCTAAGGGCAAGTAACAAGACGATTCACTTCACAGCATCCTGCACTTATCAATGACAATGACAAGAACACAAGAGAATTGACAGGCAAAATGAAGGTTTTGAGAATCGAGCAACTACATCAGGAGTTCATAAAAATGAAAACAATAAATTTGAATCTTGTAAGTCCTACAGGACCGTGGATTAAGTGTCAACATTAAGACAGTTTTTTAATAATCTGGGACCTTAACATCCATCAGACACTGAAACATAACTAATGATTAACCTACACCAAAATGTTTGCTGCTAAGAGGTGTTTTTGCAAGTCCATGCACTCCAAATATTGATACTGGACTGTACAATACTTAGAAACAGCCTCAACAGGAAAAAGGACAACTTATATCTTGTACTTTGAGTTCAATACAAAGGATTAAATATTATGCTTTCGCTAATCAAGCTATTTGATGTGAGGTTTGAGACTGGATACCCAGTGTTGCCAGGAATTTTTAACATCAGGTTCAACATAATTGCAACTTCTGCATTTATGAAGACAGACTGTTCCCATTTGTTTGAACAGTGGCACTGGTGTGTTAAAGCACATATCTTTTCTTTTTTTGGGGGGGGGAGCAGTGGTTAGAACTAAAGGGCTGTCCAAACATTAGCTGTGCATGGTGCCCCATTTCAGCCCTCCCCTCCCAAAAAGGCCTTTTGGCATGCGGCAATTGTGCTACACAATTTTTCAGTTATACATGTCCTTCCTGGCCTTACCAGTACCCAATAGTAAACAAGAGAGGTGCCATTAAATTGGGGCATAATTTCACTAATTAGGGTTTTTCAGTCACAGAGAAACGTGAATAAAGTCACACACTAAGACACGGGTGCAATCACAGTGTCTACTTTCTCTATACATGTATCTGCAGTAACATAAATGGTCATGCAATGCTGTACTCGAGTCCATCACAAGTCCCTTGACAAGGCCAGTCACAGGTCCCTTGACAAGGCCAGTCACAGGTCCCTTGACAAGGCCAGTCATGCGTAACAGGGTGAACAATGACAAAAGAATGAGTTTGTCACAGCTCACTCGAATAGCTTGTGAATTGGCTTAAGACTGAATGACTTGTGATAGACTTACAGGGACTTGCAGGGACGTGTGATGGCCTCGAATACAACACTGTGGTCACATACTGTTATCTCAACAGGGTCACTGCAGAGTACATTGGATTGATTTCATCAGCACTGATACTCTACAGATAAAAAAAAACAGACTAGCAATTGGCAACATGAAGGGTCATCTTAGGCCCTGGAGAAAAGTTCCTGATAGTCAACTGATTTCAGACCATTCATTCTGTAAGGGTGAAAAATGAGACTTCAGCAAGGACTCTTTAGAAAGAAGGGACAAGTTGACAACTGTGTTGTCAGCTCACCTCACTGTTGAGGATCATGATACAATGATCAAAGTGATGATGCTCCATGGTGGATGTGCTATATAACTGGGACAGAGCTGAGGCTGTTCTGCAAGGACAACAGAAGGAAAGCATATATATCATTGAATAGACAATTAGTTCCCTCATGATTCACTGAACTGGCTTGCCATCAGTTGCTGCCAAGCTCGTAATTACTTAAACAACACTCAATGGCACTGTGGAAACCGACTGGAAACAGCATAAAGATCTGTACGCTTTCGACTGCTGTGTTGTAGACTCTGCATTATGTGCATAGCATCTTTGGGTACTGTTTGAGGGAGTTCTTTTTTTTCCTATTCATACGAAACCTTCAAAAAATGACCTTGTGAAGGAGTCCCTAGGGTTTAACGGAAAAGTAAGTGACTCAAGATGTCAACCTGCTTTGACTGACATGCACATATCTGATCAACTAACCCAAGGCACTGCAGAACAACAAACTGGAAAACAATCTCTTTTTAGAGAGGAAATCTTATGTGGAACTTTTGGGGGGCCAAAACAAACACATCCCCAAAGCCCTAAATAATTATTTGAAAAAAGTACCATGTTGATTGTTGTGGAATAATACCATCAGCATGTACATTAAGGTTCAACACATTTTGTACCTGCATTTCTACTGGCTAAAATAATCTCTCTTTTTTGGCAGAGGAAATTCAATGTGGGAATCAGGGGCCCAAAACAAAAACATCAACGCCAAAAGCCAAAGCCAATGATTTGCAACTGTAGTAAGTTGATAGCTATCATGCACTTACTATGTTAATCATCAATCTGCTTTCATCTAAACAGTCCGGGCACTATATCAGTGAGAAGGTTGATAAATGGGAAGGACAGTTTATGTTCCCTATGTCAGCCCTAGGCTGACATTATCGGCCCTAGACTTGATTGTTTTCTTAAAAACATAGATACATGCCAAATGTATGTGTACAAATGTACATGAATTCTACATGAATTACAAAATAAACACTGTCCCATATTTCATATATGTCTCCACTACAATTCCAATTCAAAGTCGTTTCAAAGAACATTTTTTTCCATACTTTCCAACTGATGATGCAAGTACATAAATGAAATTCTAATACAATTTAGATACCAAGGAAGGCTGAGCAGCGATTGTAAGCCAAAGCTTGCGGAGAAATCCTGAAGTTGTGATATCAGATCAAGCAGTCATGTTGCCAATTTGCGAATTCATAAAAGCAGAAAATATTTCAACTTGGGTGAAATTTTGTTGCATATATATTTTGTGACAACGTGTTCACTTCGCTTTCGCATTGTATGAACCGCCATTTAAACAGACATACGGGGCTGAGTAACAACTGGACAGCCGCGTAAAAGCCCGCGTCACTTAATGTACAATGAAATTCTTGGTTCCAATTGAAATGAATAATATCATCTAAGATTGGAATTACACAGAATAAATTGTACAAGAAGATAAGATTGCATTAGTGGTTGCTAACGTAGAAAGCATGTAGATTTGCTTGCAATTTACTAGATAATCTCTTTGTCTGACTCACCTGCAGAATATATTCCTGGTTTGTACATTCCAGGAAATTAGATGAATTATTTATTTTCTCACATGTCTATCATGGTTTGATTTTTCACTCTGCCTTCTGACTGTTTTATTCAATGACCAGCCCACTAATTCAAGTTTGAACTTCATTCTAATTACTGTGATATCTGGTTTAGCAACTAGTTCAGTTGTATTAGACATACTTGATATATTCCACTGGAATGCAAATTTATGTTAGTCTTTGTTACTAGGGGAAAGTGACTAGTTTGAAACTAATCAATTCAACTTAGATTCCTTCCTAATCAAGCCCCCTTTGTTTCTGTGTTTCCAGAATGTTGTCGTTCCTGTACGTCCACATAAAATAAATACAGAAGCAATGATTAGAAGATTCCGCTTGTATCGTAGTTATCTGGAGTTGCACTTCTTGTCTGCACCATACACCTTTATCGACAATATGTAGGTTATCTTCACATAGTGAAACAGATTGACACTACTTGTGCCAGTTTGGCATGCAGCTTTGGGTACAATGTAGCATTCTGGAGATGATACGAAATGACATGGCCTCATGATGCACCAAATGCTATTCATCTTGGATGTTACAGTGAACACTTCTCGGTAGGCCTGTTAGCATTATTTGGTTCCTGGATTTATCAATTGATGTGCTAATTCACTGGTTACCTTTTTTTTTTTGGTTGAAAGATATGAAAGCCACTTTGCCAAATACAAGCTTCCTTTCTGAAGGAACAAGAAAGTGGCCAAAAATTTCTCGGATCTAAAATCGCAAGCATTCCATGCACAAACTCTTTGCCTACGGTAGTTGAAAGGTACAACCGGGTGGCGAGCATTGTAAAGACACTTCAGTGGAAACTATTTGCCAATTGATGATTTCAGCTTACACCACTTGGTTCGTTAATGGTAACTACACCTTAGGTGAACATTATGTAAGACCTAGAGAGGCCCCACGTACATATCTGTCAAGCAGATTCTGTTTTTCATAAACTTCACCAAGGCATCAATAATGTTGTGATGAGCATTACTAAGAGACCTAATGGTGTCCAAGTTGTCACAGTCAACCACTGGGGAAAAAGGGGGCTTTCCTGCAAAGGATTTTTGGAGAACTGTGATCAATTTGCAGGCTCTTAAATTTCTCACTTTCAGAAAAAAAGCCTTGAAAGAAAAGCAGGTAACTGTGAGGTATGCAATATAAGATCAACTTACTTCAGTTGGAAAGCATTGTTTGTGCCACGGTGATCCAGGTCATGGCAGAGACAGGCAACTAGCAGAGCAAATGACTCCAGGTCAGACATGACTTGGCCCATCCCACCAGACTGGGTATAGTGAAACAGACAAAATATATGAAGGTGAATATAGCCACTGGTTGAATTGATATTGCGTTACAATGATCAGAATAGCAAACGTTATGGACTCCTTGCAGTAACTATATGCGTGAGTGGCAGAGAACTACAACAGTCAAGGAAGAAAGCAGTACATGTACATGGTGATTTATGTTTGGAAAGGCAAAGACAATGTACGATTGGTTTTAAAATGTGATGCGCTCAAAGATGTGTATCTGTGCACTAGAGCAGCACACATGAGTGCGGACACAGCAGCCAAGGTACTCAAGTGTTGTCCAATATCACTGCTCTCCAGCATTTCCAGTGTTGAGGGGGTACTTATGTATGAAAAATGACTGATCCTATCTCTCTTCAGCAGCACAGCTACCGGTATGAGCTGCTCATACAATGCATGTTCCTCCCTGTGATCTCGGAATTGCATCATGTGTACTGTGGGATGCTGTTTGAGGGAATTTCATCAAAATTGGCAGATAATTATGTTTTGAAATCTGCTGCAAGGTCAAAAGTTGGAAAATCTTTCAAGATGAATGAAGTGTGATTGCCCTTACCTTGAACATGGCGAACATTGTTTGGGCAACATTGAAAGCATGTCTCCAATTGTGGTAAATGACGGGGCGGTAGTTCTTTCGCACGCTCAACAACCAACGACACAAGACCTACAAAGAGAAAAATCCGAGCAATTAAAAAATGAACTTGCACCCCAGCCTGAGTGTCAAGTGGATGCTTGAGGAGAGAAAGCTTGGGTTAACAAATCCAATAGTGACATATTGATGAGCAATCTTGTTAATATCATCAGCACAGACTGACCAGCCCTTGTCAGATCTACTGCTTTTAAAATGCATACTACAGATGCATCACTTCACATCAGAATGACGGTTGAAGTGGTGTAGGGACCATCCAGTGAGCCCTGAGGGCTCTTGCCTGCCACAGCTGTCATTCATGGGTCACAAGGCTGATATTATGGGGGGGTGGCCCTAGGGATTTCGGGAGCAACTACGCCATTTTCAAGACACTGTTGCACAAGGGGCAATTTTACTGTTGGCCCCTGACACAAGCCCGACTCATATCAGGTCCTCTGTGGACTGACCCTCATAAAAATTCCTCCCAAGGAATAAAGTGTGGCCAGCACAATGCCCCTGATCACCCAAGGACTTTAAACTTCACAATAGCCACCAACACCAATGTTTTGATGCCCCAGTGAATTACCATGATGCCCTTACAAAAATACAAAAAAATGTATCTTACAGCCACCTTGCACTGATTTCACTACACTAGAAAGTGGTATTTATTTTTTGACCATTATGAATGACAAAAATGTTTTTGGACTCTGTGTTACCATCATATTGGTTACATGTATGTACATGTCCGTGCAGGGTGCACAAGCACAACATGTGTCATGATTTTTCATACTTAAATTCTGAACTTTTGACACGTCCATTATTATCACAAGTTCCCTTCATGTTGCATTTCACTATTGCGGTGGTGAAAACATGTATGCAATAATGCTCAATGCATTGAAGCAATGCTACACTGGTTCCCGCCGTGCCATGCCAAAGAAGACTGGGTGGAAATGTGGCAACCAGTCAATGTACATGTATCCTAGCCAAAACAGCATCATTACACTACACCGTAAATGCACTAAGCTCTGCCACTGCATGTCATAAAAACAAGAAGATTTCTGCAAGTTTATTGACAGAACTTGATCTTCTGTCTGTGTATGTATTTTCTGTAAAAATGAATTTAATTCAAGGTTGTCCTGCTCGCACTTGAAGTGAGAGTGTTTCCAAAATTTCTTGCCGCAGCACAAGGTTTATTGCCTGCACCTCTGGATGCATCATGCATGCTTACCGCGCAATACATGGACAATGTTTGCCAGGTTTCCCGTTATGATTACCTGACTAGCAATGAGCACAGTGGTGTGAATTGTCAATAATTCTTAGGAATAGTCAACTGCAGATATTTTTGCACTGATAGAGGCAAGTTTATATCACTTTTTTTGTGGCAACGTTTTCCGCCTTATGAAAAATAATAGATTCAACAGTACAACACCAAATGGTAAATAACAGGTATATATTCTTGATATGTATTGATGTTTACTTTATTTGTACAACTGTTAAGTATAATTTGGCTTTCAGTTGGCCTTCGTGCCCCCCCCATTTTTTGGAAACCTTTTGAGGCCAAGTGGCCTCGCCCCTCTGAAGCTTAAGGTGGAAGCCTGTGTGGAACTGAATTCCCATCCATTTTTTTTGACAAGACAGCCTCTTTAATTTCATCAGACTCTACGGTACTTTCCCTGACTGAAATTGTCTGCCAGAATGGAGAGCGGCACAAAGAGAGTCGAACTTAGTGGGGGCCAGCACTGGAGGGGACTGACATCCAAGGGGCAGGTCAACACCGCTATAGGGCAATTTAAACCACAGAGCAGTCCTCATCAATCTTTCCCACAAGAGAACCTCCCAAGCAAAATATACATCTTAGTAAACACAACAAATGCGGCTTAAGATTTGCCAAATTGTTTGGTGGCATGATGGGATGTGATGAGGAGTTCATCAGAGTAACACACTGGAATGCACGTGAAGCCGTGTAACATGCGAAGCTTGGAGAGATCCACAAGCATTTTCAAGTGGCACTTAGAAGCAACATTCCACCGGCTATTCTTCCTTGCTCCGGTAATCTTATGCATGATCTCCTTTATTTTGCAACCAATTAACAAGTTTACTGTATCACCGTGAGAAAGGTATTATAGTCAAAATAGTATTCTGCTCAAAACACAATGCACGTGCCTATGTGAAACCTAAACATCGATATTGTAAGATGATATCATACACGGCTGTTTACTTCTTCCATCTCACTCACTTAAGCAGTTCCATAGAGTACTGCAGTGTGAACCATTTTACAGAATTGTGCATGTAACATATTGCCTTTGGTACTCTACATAAGCATAACTTTGTGTAAAGTTCTAGGTAGTATTCATCCAGAGCAGTTTTGCAAGACAAGTGATAGCTAACAGAGACTTGGGTACATATAAAGGTGGCCATGTATGTATTGTTATCAACAAAAGAAAATCACTTCCCTAGAAACCAGTTAAAGAAGTAAACAGTGACTCTGTAGTACTTAGAGTATTTTCAGTTATCACTGTAACAAAACAAGATATTTTCACTTGTAGTTCATTAAATTGAAGTTAATGCAAACACTTTTTCATGACCCATTGAGAGGAATATACTTTAAGTAACAGCTCAACAGAAACTGGCCAATCAAATTTGCATACTAAGATCTGCACCAAAGTCTATAGGACTGACTCTTAGCTGAACCTGAATGCCAAATGCCTTGGCATCAAAAATACCAAGAGCCAACTAACACCACCTGTGAAACAATTCCACTGCTATGCTCATTGTCTGTTTTGTCCAAAAATGTGACTTTTTTTCCTTTTCATTTGGTGACTTGGGTCTCACTTGGAGAGAACAAGCTTAAGTAACATTTCACGTCTGGGATCTGCAGCCAAGGCAGGTGTGAACTTTTGACATTTTCTCTCATCGCCATTTCATCCCTGAAGGGAAGCGCGTGTCAGGAGTAGATCTATCATGACTTAATTTCATTTTAACACCCCCGATGACATCTTGGTGTACGGTAATTAAACACCTAACACGAATGAGTAGGCGACGGATTGCACAGCCACTGGACTCAACACTGAAAGTGGCTGAGAATTTGTATTGCACAATGCATAGAATGCCCTTAACGGGTGACTCTGCGCTGGCCTGTGTTTGGACAGATGGACTGACAACTTCCAAAGGGAAGTGTTAATTTCCTCTGTCTCAATACAGGCCATTTTTCTAAAAGGGAGCGAGCTCCAGCTACAAATAGGGCCCAAGCGTGCTGTTGTCATGGAAACTAATGGTCTCGTGACTACGCACGTTTATTTTTTCAGTGGTTGAAGCCTGACTTTGCCAACACAATGCAGTGTTGCTGAAAGCTTTCATTTCACACACATCTCATACAGGGCCTCTGGCTGTCAGCTTTGTTTTACTACAAATGTGTAGGCAAACATGATCATGAGTTTGCATTGCTTTATCAAATGCTTACTTGAAAGTAATAAATAGTTAACATATTTTTGGATGATCAATTAAAAAGAATGACTGACATGAGACTTTGCATGATAAGGTATCAACTTTCATAGCTGGTTCACAAGTATAGCAGATAACAAAGAAAGGTCTTAGAAAGTGCGCAGGGATTTTGCTGGCATACGTGTAAAAGCATTGGTAAGGCCTATCAGATGGCACGATGTTGAGTTAAATTGCTTTATTGAGAATTGTGAACCCTGATTTTAAAAAAGGTACAGCTGATTCTTAGGGAAAATGGTTGCATCTGATAAACACTTCAGATTGAAACAACCAGTGACGTGGGCCAAAAGATAAAATAAAGACTGTTTTGTGTCAATATGCTGAATGGTGGTCGATTAAAATTTGAACAAAGTGCACTGGAACGAATGCTGTCTCTGAGCAAGAGGAATTCAACTTATTGAATCAGCACACTAGACAAGGTGCAAGACAGAATACAATCAATACAGCAAACCAGATTGCACACTGGCAAAACAGCTGCACCCCATGTCTTCACTTGCAGAGATTGAGGGTCGCAGGAATGGGAGCCACTACGGCACACTGGCTTAGGGAGGGAAAAAATTGCTTGCTTCAAAATTTTGAACAGGAACCAATTTTAAAGGTGAGGTTAAGAAATGTCGAAATGAAGGCATGTGGACCAAATGATCTCCTACTCTGAAGTCCCATTCCTGGCAATCCCACTGGGAAAAACGACATTTACAGTCATGTTAAAAATGAGAGTCTGGAATTTTCCAATTTTCTGAAGTACTCCAGCACTGAGAAATAAATGCTTTGATTACATTTGGAGTTATGGACACAATAACCTGAAATCTGTTGATTTATAATAGGAGGTAAAATTCTTAAGATATCTCTTGGCATCGTAAAACAGATCAACAGTTTAGTTGTTTCGATTAAAACAACTACATCAGTGCTGAAAGTAACAAAAAGTACTCCGAATATATCATCATTTTGGTGAAAAAAATTTACTCAGAGGAACATCTGACCTGTCTTATTCATGCACAGTTGGCTACAAAACTCATTCTTATCCACAGGGGGAAAACAACCCTGATGCTTGAACAAAATGTTCTCTGACTTGAACCCGCTGTTGCTAAGTATAGGGTTCAAGACTAAGCTCTTTCTTAAATCGGCCTAAGTCCAACAATGTGCAGTAACCAATGCCACATTCTGTGCACTATTAAAGAGATACATTGGGCTACATGATAAAGGTACTGTGGCCACTGCAGGTTTGGAGTCTTGCAACCATCAAATTTAAGCAAAGCAACATGTTCGACATCTGTGCTGCTCACGGGTAAAAAGCTGTTATGTCCATTCAGTCTTTTAAAATGTTGCAACTTTTTAAAACGTGCCTGCTGCATTTGGTCAAACTAAAAAGCAAACAGATATTTCTAGCCCTTGCTGGAATCATACAGGGGCATCAAAGTTCAATTTCAACAGGCAATTTCTGCGTTGAAATTTGATGTAGCTTGCTTAGCCATGCACCCTACAAATATTTCCATAGGTGAAAAAGAAAAGTCAAAGAGGAAGCAGCCTTTAAGATGAGT